ATTATTATTATTATTATTATTATTATTATTATTATTATATTGTTTCCTTCTCCTACAAGATCCAGTGCTTTATGGATTTCTGATTTTTTTAATCATTGGCTTGTAATTTATTTAGTTTGTTAGTAAAAAACTACTGGAAGTATTTATCAAAAAAACAAAAAAAAAACTACTGGAGGTCTAAGTAAGAATCACCAGTATCCTCATCATCTAAGCCGTGCCCCAACTATATGGGGTTGGCTGCATTAATCCTGTTTCACCATTCCATTCTGTTTGGTGCTAAATTTTGAGCACTTCATTTCTTATTACTTCTACCCATGTCCTTTTTGGTCTCCCCTAGCACTTCTAGCTCCTTCCACTTGCAACAGATTGCTGCTTCTTTCAGGTGCTGGAGCTGGGAGGTCCAAGTGAGAATGGTTTGCGTTAACTTTCTTAGGAAGAAAAGAATTAAGGTAATGCTATGGGAATATATTTTTTCTTTTAAGGATTTCAGATACTACTGCAGTTTGGAAGATGAATCAAATCCAAAATAGATTAGAACCAAATTATAGTATTCTGCTTTTGATGTTTGAAATATCAAACTATATGTGAATCTAGCAAATTATTCAATCTTTCTAGTATATAGAGAAAACAGTAAAATATCTATGGACAATACATTAAAATAAGAGGGCAGTGTAAAGTCAAATCAATCATATCCAGTGATATTGGAACTGCATGACAATTTACAGCATCCAAGATGTAGCAAACTAGCAACAAGTCATTCAGAGTAGTTGGAAAAACTTGGTAAGGAAATAAACATATTTCTGTAGGACGTTTGAGTTTTGTATGCCATATCAGATATCAGGCTTTGGATGTTTCTTTGCCTGATTGCATGGTAGGATTATATCCTTCTTTGGTCAGATGGGGACATGGATGAAACCTCTTCTCAAATTTGGTTGTCTCTATTGGGAGCTCCAAGCTGATGGCAAATTGCACCTTTTTCTCTGTTCTGTTTGCAGGGAAAAGGAAGTCTAGATCTGATGGAAGTGATTCTGGCGAAGAGAACATCTCTAAGAAGGATCTGGCATTGCAACAAGCTCTGGATCAGATTACTACCTCATTTGGAAAGGGAGCAATTATGTGGCTTGGTAGGTCTGTTTCTCCTAGACATGTTCCAGTTGTGTCTACAGGATCATTCGCTTTGGATATGGCATTGGGAATCGGTGGACTTCCAAAGGTATCTTGTCCTATTTGGATTACAACCTATTATTATGTATAGGCTAAGTCCTTTTGTGGCCATATCTTGTTTCATAGTTACTATGTAATAGCTTATGCATTTGATGTTGGTTAGAAGTATTTTATTATGACATTCTCCCACTGGAAGTTGTACACTAATGGTTGTATATGCATGTTTGATCTCTCAAGATTTATTGCTCAACTCAACTCAGCCTTAACCCTAACTATTTGCGGGCCACATGAATCCTTCCCACCATTGTGTTCTATCAAGATCCATATTTTTTGTCAAACATAAACCCTTAAATCATTTTTTGCCACATCTGACCATGTTTTCTTTACTCCTCCCCTAGTTATTTTAGAGCTTTTTAGTTTCACCAATTTACTCCTCGCTGGTGCAGTCATTTATTATCACTGTAATCCATGAAGACATGTTGGCATTACAAATGATACATGCTTTACGATATTTATTTTGACCTTGACCTTGATCTCTTAATATTTTACATTTTTGTATGGCTGAATTATATATTTTCCTCTTCTTTGTGCAGGGACGTGTGATAGAGATATATGGCCCAGAGGCTTCTGGAAAAACAACTCTTGCTCTTCACGTAATAGCTGAATCACAGAAGCATGGAGGTGATCCTTAACAGTTCCTTTTTGAAGGTTACTTGAGTATTCTTATCTGCATTGATCTTATTAGTCAGCATGGAATGTTCTAAACTTCCAAAAGATTGAAGATGCCCACCTATCCTAGTCATTGAATTGCTTAGTTTGATATAATAAACCTGGGTCTGGTGTGTGCTTCACCAACTAATATTGCTAATCATTTACATGTTTCATATGAATGCAAATGACTGGAGATTTGGGGAGGAATCTCTATTGGAGAAGGGTGGTGTTATTAATACATTTGGGTTTTGAGATACAGGTTTAATGCTATAGAAGTTAATTTCACATATGGGGTGTAATGTTGTGCCTTTGGAAGTGCATAATGAAGTTTTGTTCATTGTTTACTAGACAAACCTTTGGCTCCGTGGTATGGCCAGTAGGCCTCATGTGCACCCTGCTCTTTGCCACCCCTGAGTCCCACTAATGTGTACTATATAATATTGCCCCTTGCAATTCACTGGGGTATATGGAGGGAGAGGGGTGGGAGAAATATTTGAAGGGATGCGATGAAATATTAGAAGAATTGTTGCTAATATATGTTCTTTGATGATGGAGTGGTTTCTTATCCACCCTGAATTTGAAGATACTGATATTTTGTCATTTGATGCTAATTCTTGGTCAACCTTAGACCTTGTATCTGACGATATTTAGTTGGTCTTTATGTAATTTCTCAGTTGTTTAGGAGTTGTTTTTTGGAGGTGAAACTTCTTCACCATTGTTCTAATATTTATATTTCTTTTTAATCAGTTTCTATTTTTATTATAATACTAGAAAACATGGTGCAAGTCACCTCCATTGTCAAAGACATAAATCTCTATACTTTCTTTTAGGATCACCACTTCTTTACTTTCAATGGTCATGCATCTTGTCTCTTGGATGGCTGGTATCACAATATTTCATTAAATATTGCAATGCTAAGATTTCTAATTTGTCCACAATATTCTCTTTCTTTAGCCACTTAAATTGATTTTGAGTGCCTTACATATTTGGTTTACAACTCCATTAGGAGTTTGATACATGCATATAAAGAATGAAATGTGGCTTATGTCTGACAGACAAAAATGTGAATGATAAAGTATATTTATATTCTGGTAACTCTTTTCCCCCTGAAGATTGAATTGAGGTCATGCATACGCATGCAATGGTTCTTTTTGCCCAGGAAATTTATTCTCTCTCTCCTCAAGAGACTTGATAATTATTAATTAGCAACAACATGCTTTGTTCACTTGCATTTACTGATGTCTGATACAAATTCCAGTTTGCTTGAGCTTGACATCAGCATTTAATGAATGAGCTCAATTAATGTATTAATCTGATGCTGTAGGGTACTGCGTCTTTGTTGATGCGGAGCATGCACTTGATCCAGCACTAGCTGAGGCTGTTGGTGTAAAGACAGAAAACTTGCTTCTTTCACAACCAGATTGTGGTGAACAAGCTCTCAGCCTTGTGGACACCCTAATCCGGAGTGGTTCTGTTGATGTTGTTGTTGTGGACAGTGTAAGGCATTGTATTTACATAGAACTTCTTTCTCATTGATGGAGTGCCAAACTGTGAAATGATATGCGGTGGAATATAAAAACTGAGATATGGAGGAGATATGAAATAAAACTGGCTAAACTGTAAGACAATGATACTGAATTAAGATTTCAGAAACAAGAAATTGGGGGAAAGCTTTAAGATGAAGAAAGTAGAGAATCTGTAAGAAAGATAGAAAGAGGGGAAAACTTACTAAGAAATAGTTGATAGGATAAGACAAAAGAACCAGAAAAAATTACAAAAACACTAACCTTTGGTACCAGACATGCCTCACAAATATTAAACCTTATTCTACTAATTCTTTTTATTTTTATATATTCGTTTACAATGACTTGTAGACTCACCACAGAGCATTGGAGTTCCTTTAATGGACTCCAATTTATATTCAAAAGCTGACAATAATTCTTGAAGGACATTGCCCCATGATGGTCCCTGCCATCTTGGGTCTTGAGAGCACTGAACCGGTTAAAGATCTAATCTTTGGTATTTTTAAAATAAAGTGGCTGTTTTCAGACTTGAATATACATGTCACACTTGTCACCCCAAGAGTTTACCATCATACCAATCAATGACCCTTTCAAAAGGCTATTGCTTAATCCTAGTTTTAGCTTATCTGGGATCTTGGGAGGGGTGACTGGATATGAACCTAAACTTTGATTGTTTTACATGAAGTGGCTACTCTCAGACTTGAATTCACGCTCTCATGCTTGTTGCTTAAGATTTTTCTATGCATTAAAGACTAGATATATACCTAGCAAGAAGTCAAACAATTCCTAATTACTTTACATACTAGGAAAACCTATTAATTACCAAGAGAAACAGGTAAATGCTGACTAGTTGCTTAGAGATCCACTTGTTAATTATTAAGGAAGTTGATGTATCTGAACACCTGTTGGTGGTGGAAGGAGACTCAAGAATTGTCATCAATTGGATGGGAAACTTGAAGGAAGGAGTGAAGGACCTTGGAGACGCCCACATCTTCAATGAGATTAAGAAATCTTGACTTAGTTGAATTATTCTTATAGATGGATTCCTAGAGAACTGAATAGTTTGGCAGTTACTCTAGAAAAATCAGGGGTTAGAAGGGAATCCTTGTACAGTGATTCAAGTTTACCCTAGTAAATGATTGGGAGGGTCTTTTTTTGTGGCTATATTGAGATGAAGCTTGTCAGAGAACAAGAGATTGTTGCGATCTAGGTTGATGTGAGACAGGAAGAGAACTTGAACGAGAGATTGAAGGTTCTAGGGGTATGTCTCATTGGTAGGTTTGTGGGCTCCGAGTTGGAGAAGGAGACAGCTGAAGCTTGGGCGAAGTTTGAATGGTAAGAAAAGAATTGTGGGTGTTAGTAATTTGGCCAGGTGGCTGTTTTTGTTTATGTTCCAGAACAGAGACGTTGTGGCTTGGATTTTGGAATTAGAGAAGAAGAGGAGGGAATGCAACTTAAGGTTAGGTTGGTGGTTTCCAATGGCTGGGGTAATTCTCAATGAAAAGAGAAAAAGGGTGGTGTGGATTAGAGTAGTAGGAATTGCCATGCTTGCGTAGGGATCATTGACCTTTAATAAGATTGGAGACAGGTGTGGAAAGTTCTTGAGAGTCAACATTAGGAATGAGAGTTGGGAGAAGATGAATTTTACGAGATCCTTGTGGAAGTTGAAGATAAGGAGGAAGAGGTTAGATTGTTAACCGAACGAGTCGGTTCGGTGTTTTTAAAAAACTGAAGGTACCGGTTCGGTTTTGGTTAACCAATATAGAAAACCGGTAGTTAACCGAACCGACCTGTATAATATATTTCTATATATTTTATATATATTTATTCATTCTAATAAAACCCAATTTGGTAATGTTGTTCATTCATTCATTCTAATAAAATGTCCTTAAAAAGCAAATAAAACTATAAAATCATTATTTTTTGTGTGAAAACTAAGAATTTAAAACCTAATGTGGGCTTGTTTGGGCTTGCCTCGAGGGGCGTGGCACAAAGCCGGCTTGTAGAATCAGGAATGTAATATGTTTTACATTACATTAGCTATGTGAAGTACTGCAATTGAGTGAAAAAAGAAATTAGAGGTTTTACATGCTTGAAAATGTTTTATATGTTTGATTTTATTTTTAAATTCTCATTTGAATATGCTTTACATCTTATGTATATTTTAATTTTAGATAATAGGTTTTTTAAAACATTATTGAAAAATTTTAGTTTATATTTTTTATTAATATTATGTTTAATATTTTTATTTTTTTGGCATTTCTTTTGATTTTTTTTGATTTTTTAGCATTTTTTTTTATTTTTGTGCCTTGCATCAAAAAGGCGCGCACCTCGCCTTGTGCCTTGCGCCTCAGGCGTAAATTGACCCCTGCGCCTTTTTTGCGCCTTGCGCTTTTAAAACACTGCTAAAAACCAAAACTGAAAACTGAATTTTTCAAAAACAAAATTAACCAGAACCCAAAAAACCGAAACTGAAATTTTCGGTTCAGTTTTAACCAAATTATGCTCATCCCTAGTGAGAATGCATGATCAAGAAATTAACATCTTCGTTCGTGCAATGAAGTAGAGGAGGGTTTCGGGCTTTCAGTTGTTGCAGTCAAGATGTGTTGATTTTTGAGTGATAGTTGGAAAAGTAGGAATTGATTTGGGTCAGAGGTAGAAGGAACTGGATAGGGATGGAAGTGTGGATACATTGATAGCTGCTAAAAAGGTTTGAGGCTGTAGTAATTGTCAGATAGTGCATGTTACCAAGGTATTCTCGCATCGTAAAGAGTTTGGGCGGGTGTGGGTCCCAGCAACAGATTCAAAAGATTATACAAGAGGAAGGGGTAAGATCCAAAATAGCAAAGCAAAACTTCCTAGTTGATGAAACTCATGTTTCTGGGGATTCAACTAGGAAGGAGTCCCCGTTGTCGCCTACTTTTGAGGGGGAGGTGGTGGGGGTGAAGACTCGGTGGAGAAAGGAAAGGAAGGCAGAGGTGAAGAGTGAGGGAGGGAGGAAGTTAAGGAGGGGATTTCAGAGTGGGGAGAAGCTGAAGCAAGGAAGTGTGGATTTAAAGAAGATTGTTGACAGAGAGGTGGAGGTTGGCAAAACGTTGGGTTTGTTTGGGAGGAGAGGCCTTTGCCAAAAGGGCTTTTGAAGAATTTGAGAAGAGTAGGAGAGAGGAAAACAGTAAAAGATCTGTTGTTGGGGTTGGGGGAGAGATTTGGAATGAGGAAGATGGACAATTTTTTTCCCCTTTTTTGATGGGGTTGTTGTTTGATGCTAAAAGGATTGGATCTCGATTTCTGTTTTGCATCCTTGTTTTCTGCTTTGGTTGTAAGGTATATTTTTGCTTTGTGGGAGGTGTTGCCTTTTGCACCTGCGATGTGGTTGTATCCATTTTCTATTGTCTTCTTAATATTTTTTTATTAGCAAAAAAGTTATTTGGATATAATTCTCTTACATCTCTTTTGTATATCCTTCCCTTTTTTGTTAGTAATGAAAGTAACCTTTTCTTCAAAAAAAAAAAGCTTTAGCTCCTAAAATGGTTCCAACCAACTTCTAATCCAACTACAACTAAATAAACCAAAATTAACTCTATGATAGATACACAGAAGTCTTAATTTCCTTCACCGAATTAAAGCCTATTAGTAAAGTGGCCATAAATTTCTTAAAAGAATCAGGTGGACGCCAGGTTTCTTTGATAATACTTGGATAATCTTTTAACATAAGAATCAAGCCAAAAGAAATAATTTGAAGCATAGGATGGAAAAAGTGATAAACATGTGACTTCAGCTTTGTAAAAATCTCTATTAAAGGTCTTTAAACTATTTAGACCATGTTAAATAATTGAACTGGTCCCTGTTGCAGCCGTAGACTAGAAACCATTACTAAAGATCTAAAGTTTACCTAAATGAGATACCCAAAAAAATTATGAAATTGCAAGTGGATAAAGAATCAGGTGAACAATTTTTTTTCTCTCACCTGGGTTCCTTTTGCTGTTGCAATATCTCTGTCACTCACACTTAAAGCAATAAGATTTATGATTAATTTGTAGAGCACTGAAGAATTTTGTGTGCTGAAATTGCTTTTTTTCCAAGATTTATCTATCTATTCTATAAAATTGAGATTCCTATCGCTGAACTACTTCTATGTGGAACTCTGTCACCGAAGGATAATTTTGTGGGCCTTGCTCCTGATGTGCTGCACATGAGACACTGATTCATATCTGGGACCTCATCATCATTCATCCACCTAACAAGTCCATGCACATGCTAAAAAAATTCAGGCCGTTGTGTAGACTCATGTCTAGTCATTTAGACCATGCACAGGTTGATATTTGTCCCTGGTGTTCTGCACATGGTACGGTGCATGTCTGGGACTTGATCATCCACCAAACAAATCATTGTACACTAGAAAAATTATTCAGACAGTTATGTAGTGTCATGTCTAGACATTTAGAACATACAGGTCAATCTTGACATTTTCCTTCTGAATATTTTAGTTCTTTATGGTTCTCTTTTCTGGGTGGCAGGTGGCTGCACTTGTGCCTAAAAGTGAACTTGATGGTGAGATGGGAGATGCACACATGGCAATGCAAGCCAGATTGATGAGCCAGGCTCTTCGCAAGTTGAGCCATTCTTTGTCCCTCTCACAGACTATCTTGATCTTTATAAATCAGGTAAATTTTTACATATTTCTTGTGTCATCTGTGTAGAGAACATTGATGTGGGCCCCACAGCTGTGGTCCCACTCTGTCCGTAGGGTAGAATGTATCTAGTCACAGCTGTGGTCGATTTATCATTCTGTTATTCTAGTTATTTACTTTTCAGTTTTATATTGTTATGTGTTGTGATGTAAACACCAAAGGCAGATATGTCCTTTCATGTAACTAGCATAACATATAAATATTAAATTAAAGTGGCGGTGGCAGAATATTGAGATTCTGTTATTCTCCTCAAAACTGTGTTCTACTGCTCTCTCACTACTCTTTCTCCTTCACTTTCTCTTCTCTTCGAACCTGAAGTTCCTGAGTGATCAAGACTGATAGCAGTCTTGAACAACTACATGGTATTAGAGCCAAGTTAGGGTTTCTCATGCGAGTCTAATACCAGTCGACCACATGAGAATCTCCTAGGACTGAGAGTTGAAAAGGAAGAGTTCGCAGACTGATTCTTGGAGATCGCCAGAAGTGCTAGCAGCTGTTGGAAACTTGTTAGGGTTGCAGAGTGTTGGTGGTCAGGAAGGATCAGAGAAGACTAGGGTTCGGGTAACCCTAGAAGGCAGCGAACAATTTTTCCTTGTAAGTTATTTACTTTCTAAAAG